CCTTGAATTCAATTAAATCCCTTTTTCTTATTTTTTACATAATTATTTCCTCTTTGTTTATATCAATCTCTTGGTCCATTCCTACACAATTTTTCATGTAGAATCAAAGTATCAAATCAGATTTTACAAAATCACACTCCTCCCTTTAGTGTTATTTTCCAAAATTTTTATTTTTCATTCCAATGATTCTAAACACTTTTTCTTGGTATTTCCCTGCACAAAAATACCTTTTGAACTCACTAGAATCATCAAAACAAACTCCTTCACCAGGAAACCATAGTGGCCGAATAGTATGTCTTGAAATCCCTAACTTAGTTTTCTTTCAAAAATCAATCCAAACATCACTTAAACATGATAATTCAAGCTTATATTCAAGGCTTCTATCCTTTCCTAACACATATTCAATTCAACCAAAAATGGACAGCATCACAACCTTGAATTACAACCTTTATTTCTAACCATAACAAGCTTCCAACTTAACCAAAACCAAGCTCAAGCTTACCTTGATTAATCCTTGATCAAAGCTTGATGTTTCTTCTCCTCCAAATACACTGTCTAAGGCTCTTCTTTAAGCTCAAATTTTCAATTTGGCAGCACCTTCCCAAGGTTCTCTAATTTTCGACCGAAATGTCAAATTAAGGAGTATTTATAGAAAATTTCGGGCCAACCTCCCCTCCACAATTGTGGCTGAAAATTGGCCAAAAAAATGGCCATGTGGCTACCATCCAATGTTTAAAAAATCTGATCTTGCCAACGTCATTATTACAAGAATATTCTATTGATTTTTAGGGTTAATTTAGGCCTAAACTTCTTTAAAGGTTGGGCCATGTTCTACAAAAATTTTTTGGGTTTCTTGGCCCAAAATGAAGCTCAAATATGAACCAAAAAGGAAGAAAAAGTGGGGCCCACTTATAAATATCAATTTTTGACCAAAATTCACTATATCGATTATTATTTTCAAAAATACTTTTGGGCCTCCAAAAATTCATTTCTCTCTATCAAAAACTCCTTTCTAATATAGGAAAGCATTTTGAAAATTTTGGAAATTTATCTCCACCTCTAACTATTCATTTTGAATTTTTTTTGAAATCAGGCTTTACCGATAAGATTTTGGTAATTAAATATTTTAAAATTAATTCTTTCACCTCCAATGCCTGGAAACAATTTTATCAATCCAAATAAATCCTTAAATAATTTTTTCATATTTTTTTAGAATTATTGAGGCCTCTACATATCTAAAATAATTGTTTCGGCATAATTTTTCACTGTTTTTCTGAAAAACCTCTGTTTTACTAAAATCCTATAATAATTTATTTCTATGCCATTTGCATCTCTAGGGCCTCAAATAAAGTTTCAAAACCTCTAATTTGTTTTTTTATTATTTTTTAGGAATTTTCTAAAAATTTTCTCTAATTTTTCTATTTTGCCCTTCCTGGATTGATAATTTAAAAAATATTAGTCTAGACAAGTGTTGAAGCTTAACTCAAAAATTATTCTGCCTCTGAGTCTATTTTACTATTTGACCATCTTTCTAATGTATTATTCATATTCTCATGATCAAATTTGGTAGGATGTGACATTTAATCACCAAAACCTTAAGAGCCCTACTCTGACCAATATGCTTTTGAAACTCATCTCAACTTGGACGAACAAGCACAACCTTCACTAACTCATCCTGACACCTTCATTAAACCACAAGCCTGAACCCATCATCCTAGGGTCAGTTATTCCTTATGTTCCACCTTCTGACCCCCCCATAACACCTTCTAGGTCTTGTTTCTTGAACCCAAGGCCTTAAGGCTTTCTACTCCCTTTCATTCATACACGATCCCACTTTCATGCCTAGCCTACAACCATCTCCACGAGAGCATGTGACATTTGAAACTACAAATCCCTTCCCTTGGCCTTCCACTAGATGCAGGTGTGATGACATCTTTGCTCTTGTTCAACTCCCCACTTCTAGATGTTCTCCTGGGGGCAAAAGGATGAAAAGTAGCCCAGCCAAAAGGACAAATAAGAATTAATGTATTATGGATCCCATTTACTGTGATTAGAAGCAATTGTTTTCATGATATTTTATTATCTTTGTTTGTTAGACAATGGACTTAATGTTATTTGCAAAGTTTACATCAATGAAGTTTGTTTTCTGTTATTTATCCTTCTTCATATTCATATGCATGTATATTTTCATTAATTTTAGTCACTGTTTAGTATTTATGACCTATTTTCTTCCTCACACTTCATAGCGTCCACTCTATGAATCAAGTAAATTAGAATTTTTGTATCACTTAAGTTCATCAAATTGGGCGTTTTTCTCATAACTTTCAATTCATTGGACAAATTCCACCACCATCTACCAAGTCACAAATAATAATGTTATTTCTGTCACAAATTCAACCTTACTTTCACCAATTCTAGTTGACCCTGTTGCATTGGAATTTATTGTATCAAATCGAGTTAAACATGAGCTCACTCTTTTTTTCCCGGCTAATAGGATCATTCATTTTACACATAAATAAGGATATCTATTCTTATATATATATATATATATATATAATAATTATAATTCCTTGTCTTAAAGAGGTCTACGAAATATAACACTTGTACTCCCACTTTTATAATAACCATAATGAACAATACAGCATTCGTTACACACTACACCACTAAGCAAAACAATTGTACATTACAATTCTACTAGAAGGAAATCATCTTCTACTTTCCTTTTAACATACCAAACCTAAGCACAGCCTACATAACAAAATGCACACAAATTCGAACACATTCCCTAGTATCTTCCGCTCCCCTATGCATTCAATCTCCACCATTGTTTTGGACCAAAAAAAAAAAAATCTCCACCATTGTTAGGACGGGTCATCTCACGCGCTTAATCTCTCCAAGCTAAGCAAAGTTTCACAAAGTAGGAATAAGATTTGCCTTTGAACTTCTTGCTTAGTAGGTGAACCTGCTAATTACCAAATTAACAATTTAAATTATCTTCACCCATTACTCAATTATCATCTAAACATAGCAATATTGTTCCAAAAATTGTTTACTTGAACATATGTATCTCACGCAGCTAGATTTTCCAGGATAGAACTTGTGCGAGTATCCCACCAGAATCCATATGCAGAGTGTCCCCACAACATTTCGCATACAACCAACCAGTCTTGACAGAGCTTCCTCATGTGAGGTTGTATATGGCTCCTTGCCTTTAACCCATAACTTGGAAGTCTTTCTTCCACCTTATTTTTATTGTACTCCAGATAACCAAGCCTATTTTCCTCCTTCGCTCATGCTAGCCGCTGTTGGCGCATTGTCATTGGTGCTTCCTTCTCTTTCTGCCATTTTCCTCCTTCATTCGCCTCTATTCTCTTCGGTGGCAACAGTATCTGTGCTTTCATGTCAAGGGCTTTGTCACATCTCATTTAAAAAATCTTCTCCCTCTTTTATTACTATTTTATTCTTCCATTAAGGGTAAAGCAGTCTTTTTGTCAGCATTTTCAGACCCATTTTCATTACACCAAACATTGAATTTTTCATCCAACTATTTTTTATCCTGGCACTTACCAAACATGTCATCACTTTTAAATTTTTCATTTCATTCCTTCCATTCCAACATTTTCTTTCTACCAAACAGGCCCTATGTTTCTAATGATTAAGGCATTAGAGTCATTTCATAAAATTTTAAAAAAAATTTTGGTTCATGTGACCTAATTAGAAATTTGACAAATTTAATCATCCAAATAAAAATTTAGATTATTTAAGTGTCTTTGGTTTTTAAAAATACGTTGATGTTCGCTGTATCAAGATTTCTCAAGATTTGTTGTTATATGATATATTTATGACTACAGGTAGAGCCATCAAAATTGGCAAGCCCATCAAGCCAGCCTGTTTAAACCCTTTTAAGTGAAGGGTTGAACTTGTATTTTAGGAGGTTTAAAAAAAAATTGGACTTAAAAAAGCTAGTTTTATAGGGCTCATAAGTAAAAAAGCCAATCCATGAGGTGAGGACAAGCTCTTTTAAGCTCGTCTATTTTTTTTATTATCAATATATTTATACAATTATGTATTAGTCTTTTATGAACAAGTCTAAGCTAGAAAAATATTTAGAAGAATCAATATTTAAACTAGATAATTAGAAAGAATTAGATATCTTGAATTGGTAGAAGAACAATTAAAATCAATTTTCAATTCTTTCAAAAATGGAAATTGATATTTTTAGCATTCCAATCACTATAATAGCTAGTAGATCTTCTTTTACCATCGATTCACATGTCTTAACAAAGTATAAAAATTTTCTCATTCTGCCAAATGTTCAGCTTTTATTGCCACACATAACTACTGCAAAGTCTTACTTTAAATAAGGGTAATGTAAACAAAAATCTTGATATTTTTATTGTTGAAAAAGAGCCCACTTGTATAGAAGAACAATCAAATATTGTTGATCTTAATGATAGTGATGAAAATGGCGACAAAGATAATAATCATACTGATGTGGTTAATCTTTAACTGTTAGTTTTTGTCTTTTTGTTTCTCCTGTTTCATTGGGTTTTTTTTTATTTGGAACAATAATTTATTGGTTTTTGATTCTTTTTCCTTATACACCATTGGTTTATTTTACTAATATATTTAAAACATCTAAATACAAAATTTAGATGTTTTATTGTTTTATTTTTTATTTTAAAATTCAAAATAATTAAAAAGAATTTAAATTAAAAAAAAAGGCTAACTTTTTGAGGTTCTAAACTCGCATGCCTAAAAATCTGACTTGAATGATTAGATAATTTTAAGTTGTGGAGTCCAAAAAAAAAAAAGAGAATTTTAAGTTGTGTTGATTTTAAAAAACAGGTACTTTTAGGTCCTGCCTTTTAGAGCCGGCACATGCTCATTAACCATTCTAATAACAAGCTGTATACTTGCAAAATTATTTTTTTTTTTGGGTACCTTTTTCAGGTTGTAATTTCTCTTATTTCATTTTCGTCTTTGCTAGATATCGCCATTCTGCCATCACACCTTCTGCTGTCATCCCTTTTCCAGGAAAGTTAAGACATTTTCCTGGAATTATTGTCCTCATTGGTCCTATTTCTTCGCTGGTTTCTTCAGAGGCTGAATCCAGAACTCTACTCCCGAATTTTTGCAAAATCTGTGATCACAAGATTTTCCTTGTTCCACGCAAAATTTCCCCTCCTTACGACTGATTTCGTGGGGATTTGATGGGCCAAACGCAATCGAAGGACGAGCTTCTTTACCAGCAAATCAGTTATGGGAACATCGAAGGAATCAAAGCCCTTCATAGGGAGGGAGCAGGATTAGAGGTAAAGAAGCTGTGGTGAATTTCCCAGATGATTTTATTTTCATTTCTGGTAGCTGTTGAAGTATTTTCTTGTTCACTGTGATGATTTGTTGATTTCGCTGCAGTGGGTGGACAGAGAGGGAAAGACGCCTTTGATCGTTGCTTGTATGAACCCTGAGCTGTATGATGTCGCCAAAATATTGATTGAACTTGGTGCCAATGTCAATGCATACCGTCCGGGTATTGTTTCTGGTTCACTTGTCGAAGGTTTATCAGAATTCAATCATTAGCTTCTTGGACCTGTATGCTGTCTGTTTCGAGTGGAATCAAATAATTCTATTCTATTACTATAAACAAAAATTGGTCGTGACCCACCTCAAATTTTAAGAAACTTCATTAACTGCAGACTTGGGAACACGAGCTTTGTTTAAGATGGTTTTGATACCGCCAAATTTCGTAGTTTGACTGCTTCTCTATCTCTCTCTCTCTCTCAAGTTATTTCAGATTATTGTTTGTTTTAGCCATCATGATATTAGCATCAAGTATTGAAATGAATGAGAAAGCTTCGGTGGAGTTTACATATGTTTGCCATTAGATTCTCTAATTAAAATATGGCAAATTTGGATATTCAAGTTGGCACATGGAGTCAAGTAAACACCTAAGAACATAGCAAACTCCTAAGAAAAACTTTTTTCCTGTAATGAATCAATTAAACTAGCATGATCCATGTCTTCCTTTGGCTTCATTGACTACTTCTGACTTTAGAGATTGGCTATTGGATAGGACGGCATGCTGGCACTCCATTGCATCATGCAGCTAAAAGAGGCCTTGAGAGTATTGTGAAGTTGCTCCTTTTGCATGGAGGTATGATACAATGCCCCTGTTTTTCCGAAGTTTTGACCATTCATGTTGATTTTGTTCGTTCAAAAATTTGGCGTATGCTTCTTTAATTTTCAATTCTCAGGACATTGATTTGGCATCTGCTGTTAAACTTGTCAGCTAATGCATTGTTCATGAATGATGATTGCCAAACTGCTCTTGATGTTGCCAGGGCCAAGGGCCACGGCAATGTTGTTCATGCTATTGAGGTATGTTTGGACTTCTCATTGTAATACCAAAACGTCCCTGCCTGATATATTAAGTTGAACGGATTGGGTGTGTTTTCTTTCTTTTCTTTTTCATGATACATAGATCATCAAAATTCCTCGGATGTTTCTTATTTTGCAGAGTCATCTCTGCTTGTTCTCTGGTTGGCTGCGGGAGTTCCATGGACCTGGATTCCTAGAAGTAGTAGCTCCACAGCTAGTATCTAAGAAAGTGTGAGTATCAAGTGATATTTGTTGAAGCTTTCTTTTCCCTCATTTTCCTTCTCTGCTAGATGGATTGCAGGTGTTCCTCACTGCTTTCAAATTTTTTGGGGTCTTCTAAGGAACTTTCTTACACGTTTTTATGATTATGCCAATCATTCAACAATTTCTTGCAGTTGGGTGGTTGTTTTACCAGTTGGCTCTCGGAATCTTACCAGACCCTACAAGCTGGAGCTTGCCATATATTCTAGTATGCAGGTATGTGAGAATGAATATATAATTCTTCCTGAGAAACAGATACTGAGGTTTGTTTGTAAGTGAGTGGACTAGGTAGAATGTGTCAATTTCTGTGGATGGTAAGTTCATCAAATAATTTTAGGACTTGTAACATCTTACTTAGTTTACTTATCTAAACTTTGAATGAATCTTGTGAACTACATTGAAATTCTAATTGCTATACTGATATCTGTTTGCACGTGAAACTAACAAATGGATACTTGATTCAGGGCTAAGTTTTCTATCTTCTTGCCTTACTATTATCATGTGTTATGATGTAAAGCATATTATTAAATGTGCAGGATGCACAACCACGGACAGTTATTGCTCTTTGGAAGGCCAACTTAGATGAACCAAAGCTACACCAGTCAGATCCTTCAGTGACTATCGCTGATCTCACTACAAGTAATCTCCTAACTTGAGCTAGGTTTCAAAATTGGTCTGGACTTAAAGATGGATTGACTGTTGGGTCACAATTTTACTAATTTAATTGGTTAAGCCATAGTTGAACTCAATGATGCCATAAATATGTGTGTACACGTAATTTTTCAAATATTACTTATAGTAATCCCCCCCCCCCGGGGGGAACCTACAAGATAATGATGGTGTTAATTAAAATACGGAAATTATAGGATATCTAGTGTATTGAATGCTTAGACTTGTTGCCTTTTATTGAAGTATATAAGATAAACAGGCTAAACATGTGCAAAGTTGTTTGTGTATTTATTAAACTTTTAAGAACACGAATTCTGGGTGCCAACTTGTTTCGCTTTGTGCAAAGCACCCATGTGGGTACCAGGTTCAAAGCCCACTACAAGAAATGAAAAATATTTCCTGAGTGACATGGTGCTATGAATCAGACTTTGAGATGTGTTGCTGGTCTGGGTCATGAATTCCTTTGATAACTCAACCTGGGAATGATTTATTATGGTATGGAGTTATCTAAATTGCAAATCAGGTTTGAGGTACCACCTCCCAGTTGGACCAGTCAAAATAGACTGGTCTGGTTTGGGTTGTGGACCAGTGATATTGAGTTTACTCTTTCTTGTCTCGTTTTGTATCTATTTTCTTGTTTTGTCATTTAAACCCTACCAAAATACCTGTATAGTATTACATATTATCAATAGAATATGGTACTGAAATATTTGCAAATAATAAAAATGTATATAATACTATGATTAGTTTTTTAATCAATAATAGTAGTATATCATGAATGTTCTTATAGTTGTTGGGGAGTAGTTATTGAACTAGAAGTTTTAGAGTTTCTATCCTATGTATCCTATTATTTTAGTTTCTCTTTAAGAGTTATCACATTTCTAGGAGTTACTTTTATTATCAAACTTTTTCTTTCAATTATATAAATCAATGTTGGCACTGTATATTTCTAGGAATTAATACAAAAATTATCTTCCTTATTGAAAGGCTTATAACAAGCAGAGTATATTGTTGTTGTTTACTGTTTCAACTTTTTGCTTATTTCCAGAAACACGTATTAAACTTGCACCTGCAAGTGAGAGTGACAAGCAACAACTTAAGTGGTTTTCTGATGCATGCAAAGGAATTCCACAGGTTTGTCACATGTTATCTGTGGTTCATCGGTGTTAATTTGCTGTATTTTATTTCCATTTATTGCTTGTTCAGATTGACACAATTTGTATGGTTATATTAGTATGTTGGCTGGTTGGCAGACAAAATTTCAATCTGTAGCTGTCTTCAATATTCTTCAATCTGAAAATCTCTGGACTTTCAGGAAAGTCCGGCATTTTTGCAGGGTAACATTAGAACAGCTCCTCCCTCAGCGCCACCAGCTGCAGAAGATCTAGAGATGGCTGCTGCTATCAGAGCATCTATGCAGTCTGCCGTGCACGAGAGGCCATCCCTTGCAAATACCCTGCCAAACTTTGGAGCAAGCTCGTCAAGTGGAGAAACTACAAACATGCATGGTTCAATCAGCACGTCAAATCCGAAGACAAGTGGTAGTTTGCCTGCAAATGAAGTTGCACTGGGTAGCAATTCAAGTGAGCCCATCGATGATGATGAGCCTGTTTCTCAAAGCTCTGGTGGTTTAGATTTGATTCCATCAGCTCCTCCAATTGCGGATGAGTATCCAGTTAATGGCCCCATTCATTACCCCTCAATTGATGTAAGCCCTGTTGAAATATCATCTTCAGCCGCAGAGAAGCCACCTGAAGATGAAAAGATTGCCGCGGGGAGTGGTTCTTCTTGTGTGATCTGTTTAGATGCTCCGGCCGAGGGTGTATGCATACCCTGTGGCCATGTTGCCGGATGCATGTCTTGCTTGAATGAGGTCAAAGCAAAGAAATGGGGTTGCCCGGTTTGTCGAGCAAAGATCGATCAGGTGATAAAGATATATCACGTTTAAGACAATGTTAATATGGCCCTGCCTGTTTTACGTTTTGAAAATGACAGAAAAGTATAGAGAGCCCACTTTGGGTCTTTGTGAATATCCTATCATCAAATTTTTTTTTTGGTACAATCCTATCATCATGTTACGTATTGTGATTCTGTGAGTCTGATTTACAAAGTGTACCGTATGGATTTTGTTCATTTGTGATATATATATATATATATATATCTATATGTGTGTGCGCGCGTGCCTGTTTTGTGGTTTCCGCCTAGGAACATATGTAAGCTTGGATTACTTCAATAGCCTATAAGCCCCGTCTCCTCGGATCCGTGTTATAAGTTTTTAACGTGGCAGTGGCAGGGTCATTCATTTTCAAAAGAAGCCGATGACTGGAAGCTACACAATGTTAAAAGGTTAAACAAAAGAAAATGAAGACAAGGAAAAATAAAAACGGGATGTGATTTTCTCTCCTTATGTTTGGCGTAACAAGAAATAAGATGGAGTGCAAAAAAAAACAAATAATTTTATATGGACAGTAATAATCTTACCATTATTAGGAAAATACTCGGCAAAATTTATTACGAAACCCACGTAAGGAATTCAATAACAAAATTTGGTGAAAGGAGTCATGGTATATGTAATAGTTATACCTGATAGTAAAAGAATGCTGAAAATAGAAGATCAAATTGAACAATCAGGACGCAATGGTATTGTATTAATCCAGCAAAATTCACAGTACACTTATATGAAAAATGGCAAATCCTAACAGCAAGGACAGTGACTGTCGCAGGGGAATTAACAGAAATAGCAGAAAGAAAAGGTCTAGAGAAGAAGGGAAATGACAGAGGAGGTAGGACCACACACAATTCACTGCCCTCTCCTCACACTCTCAGTACATCTTATGATTCTCATTCTCACGCAATTTCCACGTCCTCTGGCGAATTCTCGCTCCCCTCCTAACCACCTCACGTGCTGTATGCTCATGGGTCCTATACAAAGCTGTAGTTGGGCTTGCATTCCCTGTATTGTCACCCAGGCCCAAATGAGTGCTGGTAACATTTCCTCCCCCATTAAAACTAACCTTGTCCCCAAGGTCAGAATCAGGAAATTGAGTGATGAAAGACTGAACATCAACCCAAGAAGCAGGAATAGCCCCATCCCATTGCACCAGTAGCTGTGTCACGTACTGTCCATGAAGCAAAATCTGACGGACTTGCAATATATCAATAGGGGTCAACACAAGACCAGAATCAGTCGTCTACAGTGGAAGAGGCAAGTATTGGTCGGTGGGATTACCATGGCATTTCTTGAGGAAGGAAACATGAAAGACAGGATGAATTTTAGCAGTAGAAGGCAATTGTAACTTGTAAGCAACTGTGCCAATCTTCTCAATAACAGGGAAAGGACCAAAATAGCGAAGCCCCAATTTCTGATTCCTTTGCAAAGAGATCGAAACTTGACGATAAGGCTGTAACTTAACATAAACCATATCACCAACAACAAAGTCAAGTTCAGAACGCTTCTGATAAGCAAACTTCTTCATCCGTACCTGTGCCTTGTGTAAATTGTGTTTAAGCTTAGCTAAGAGCACATCACGGTCATACAGCTGGGTCAAGACCTCGGAGGAAGCATTCATCGGCTCAGAGGCAGAATACAGAATAGGAGGATCACGTCCATATATAGCAGAAAAAGGAGTCATTTTGATTGCCTCCTGATACGATGTATTATACCAAAATTCTGCCCAAGGTAACAATGTAACCCATAGCTTAGGGTTGTCATACACAAAACAATGGAGATACATTTCCAGACATTTGTTTAAAACTTCACTCTGGCCATCAGTTTGTGGATGATAAGAGGAGCTCATAGAAAGAGTGGTGCCTTGTAACTTAAACAAATGCTGCCAAAAATTGCTAGTGAAAACCTTGTCACGGTCAGAAACAATAGATTCTGGAACACCATGGAGGCGAACCACATTCTGGATAAAAGAATCAGCAACTTGTTGACTAGTAAAATTGGCATTGAGAGGTGCAAAATGACCATATTTCGACAAACGATCAACTACCACCATGATGACAGCGTACCCCTTAGAACTAGGCAAACCAGTAATGAAATCCATTGCTACATCTTCCCATATAGCTTAAGGAATTGGCAATGGTTGTAGCAACCCAGCAGGATGTACTTGGGAGACCTTAGTCTGCTGGCAAATGTCACAACAATGAATAAAAGATCGAATATCATCTCGCATCTTAAACCAGAAGAATTGAGCAGCTATACGGTGAAAAGTGCGAAAGTAACCTGCATGACCGCTTAGGCGAGAGGAGTGAAATTCACATAAAATTTTCTGAATTAATGCAGAAGCGTCAGTAGGTATAACCAAACGGTTATTATAAAACAATAAGCCATTAGTAATGTTGTACTGGTGAACAGTAGGTTGCTGATGAGAGATCTTATGCATAATGGCCTGTATCTTCGATGAATTACGTTGGGCAGATGCAATCTCCTCAATCAACAAACTGACAGGAGCCAAATAAGCCATACAGTAGCTTCGAGAAAAAGAAACTGCAGCTCCATTACTTCGCCCTGGCTTGTATTCAATTGTATAGTTGTAACCAAGTAATTTAGGCAACCACTCTTGTTGCTTTGGTGTCTGAATCGTCTGATCCATTAAATATCGAAGGCTTTGATGATCAGTATGAATTATGAATGGATGACCAATAAGATAGTGGCGAAATTTAGCCACTGCTTCAGTAATGGCGTACATTTCTCTAGTATAAGTGGACATAGATCACATCCGAGGAGAAAGTTTCTTTGAAAAGAATGCAATAGGGTGTCCCAGTTGACTCAATATAGCACCAATGCCAGATCCCGAAGCATCAGTTTCCAAAACAAAAGGTCTTGAAAAATCAGGTAAAACTAACACAGGAGCTTTAGTCAACGCCTTTTTAAGATTCTCAAATGCAGTTGCAGCCTCAGCTATCCAAGAGAATCCATTGTTCTGTAGTAATGCAGTTAGATGAGCAGCAATTGATGCATATCCCCTAATAAAGCGACGGTAATAACATAAGTATGGGCGAAATACGTCATTCATCACAGCTTGAAAGGTGGCCGGGGCATTTGTGAGACCAAATGGCATAACAAGCCATTCATAGTGCCCATGATGAGTTCTAAAAGCTGTTTTATATCTATCTTCAGCCTTTACTCAGATTTGGTGATAACCGGATCTTAAATCAAGCTTTGAAAAATACTGTGCACCCCCTAACTCATCCAATAATTCATCCACTGTTGGAATTGGGTAAGAGTCCCTAATGGTGACTGTATTTAAAGCCCTATAATCTGTACAAAAACGCCAGGATCCATCCTTTTTTTTAACCAATAGAACAGGGGCAGAGAACAGACTATTACTCAGTTGTATGATACCTTCCTTTAACATATCAGAAACCATGGCCTCAATTTGATTTTTCTGAGAGAAAGGGTAACGGTATGGATGGACCTTCACTGGAGAAACACCCTCCTACAAATTAATAGCATGATCTTGATTACAAGGTGGAGGCAGATCCTTGGGAGTGGCAAATACCCCCGAAAACCGCTGTAAATGCACAGGATATCGGAAGCAATATCTTCTGGAAATTCTAACAATTCCCTGGGAGATTTAGTAGGCATAAACGCCAGAGCAAACAATTGATCAATGCTATCGGTGGCTACAATATGTCTCATATGATGATATTGAATGCAAGTGGGAGAACGATGACGGTCACCTTGAAGAGTAATAAATTTTCCGTCTCGATAAATGCGGAGAGTTGCTGTGTTATGATCCGAAATATGGGGGCCTAATGAAGCTAACCAAGAAGCACCCAAAACAATATCCGATCCCTTAATAGGTACCACAAATGCATCAATGGGTGTGTCATGACCCCCAATCCGAAGAGGAATGGAGTGAACAACTCCCTCCCCCATTAAATTGTTTCCATCACCAACAAAAACACGAAAAGAGGACGCAGGTTCTACCAGAAGACGAAGGTATTGTGCCACGCGAGGTTGAATGAAGTTATCCGAACTACCCCCATCCAACAGTATCTCCACCTCAGACCCCAAAATATGACCCGTGAAACAGATGGTACAAGGACCAGGAGATCCCCGAAAAGCTTGAAGAGAAAGGTGGTGTAACACCACAGAGTCTTCCAACGCCGGTAATAGTTCCTCAGATTGCAGTGGAGCTACATCCTCGTCCTCGAGATCCACTAACAGCATCATAAAGTGATGATTAGAGCACCTGTGAGTCGCCAAAAACTTCTCATCACAGTTATAGCACAGACCTTTCTCACGACGCAACTGCATTTCTGCTGCAATAAGTCGTTTGATTTGAGGAGCTGGTTTCGTAGGTGGAGTGGGCAACAGTGGTGCAGATGATGATTTAGAGGCCATAAGAGAAGACGAGCCCGAAGATCCACCCGAAAAGGATGTCATCTTGGAAAAAAATGAGGAAGAAACAGTGTTGGACTTGGGCCTAAGCCCAAAATCCATTTTAGAGCCAGTCTCATCATACAACCGGGCTAAGGCAACTGCATGCTGCAAGGATGTAGGTTCTCTGGCTAATACATCTCTTTTAATGGAATCCTTCAAGCCACTGATAAAACAGTCCATAAGAGCACTATCAGAAAGACCTTTAACACAATTAGCGAGCGACATAAAGGCAGCTTGATATTGTTCCACGGATCTCGTTTGGCCTAACTTAAACAATTGGGCACGAGGATTATCAAATCTGGTCGGTCCAAACTGTAACTATATCGCCTTCGTGAGAGCAATCCAAGAGGGAACCTGATTAGGACGTTGTAACATTTGAAACCAAGGAACCACATCGCCCTCAAAATGAACTGAAGCCAAGACAATCCGTTGCAAATCAGAAGTTTCATACAAAGAAAAATATTGCTCCGCACGAAAAATCCAGTTCAAAGGATCAGTACCATTGAATCGGGGAAAATCAATCTTAACTTTGGAAGGAAATTGCTGACCAATCGATGATGAAGAACCCCCATAATCTGGAACTTCAGTGGCAGCCGAGTTCAGTAACAAATCAATCTTATGATTAATACCATCAGCCGAACGATTAATGTCTAAAACAGACCGTTCAATGTGATCCATACAAGCAGGATGCACTGTTTCCGTATGAGAAGCAGTTAACTGCAACTGAGCAATCGTATTCTGAAAAGCGGCATCGCGTTGTTCACCCAGCTCGT